CCCTGAAGAAATTGACATCCTCATAGGAGTTCTGTAGTAATGCCCTTGGGACACCTTTCTAGAGGATGAGCTAATATAACTGGGTCCTAATAAGCCTCAGCAGACAAATAAAACAGAAGCAGAACTAATCATCCTTATCAGAAAGGAAACAGAGAAAAATGTTAAATCACCTTAAAAACTGTGTCCTCCTTTCAGCACCACCAATGAGATATTGCTAAAAAAAGGGGGAGTTTTGTGTGTTGTACAGCAGAAAGACATTGAAAATGTTTAGAAATAGGGAGCACGAAAACTATTTTAGCTAAAAGTAAGGGTCAGGAGGGGAATGACTGAACAACATACAATACTGAAGTATTAAAATTAATAAAATAGGAATTTAAAAAATCAAATCAAATTATTTCCATTTTGTTGACATAAATAAAATATTTACTAGGCAAATTTGACCAGACAGACATGTTTTGAAGGTAAATGTAGCCAAATTATGTAACCCAGAGCTTCTGCAAATTCTAGATGCAAATCTTTTGGAAGGATAACAAAAAAGAAATATAAAAACTAAGATCAACAGATTCAGAAACAAAATTCAGAATGAATTTTTCTGGTCAGAGGGCAAGAATGCTGAATTAAACTCTTCTCCTGAGCTTTATGGAATATTTGGGTCACAATGACTCATTCATGTATTTTCATTTTTGCTGATCTTCCAATTTAATTTCTTTTCTAACTCCAGTTGCAATGAAACACTGACATAAGCTTCACTCACACATCTACCCTTTCTTTATCCTTCCCACCACAGTACCCAGGTATCACCTTTCTTGAGTGTATTGCGAAGGAATGGGGATGGTTCTCACCCTTCCCATGTTGCCCTCTTTGGGTGTTGCTTCTCCAGATCCTGGAGACCTTTCACCTTACCCAGCACCCCTCTAACAAATCACACACTTCTCTACTGACCACCACCTTCTAGAACTTGGGGTCTACAGTTCCTCTTGATACAGTTTGGCTACCATGGGCTCAAAGAGTGAATGTGAAACTACCCACACTTCCCTTTCTGCCTTATTCTTCATACCACATAACCACAAGGCTATTCGGATGAAGTAGATTTCCCAGAGGGTAGGGCTAATTAAATGGACTTACAACATGAGAGTAAATAAATGGTAAATTATGTGTTAAAGTCACCCTTACTCATACTAAAATAAAAGCTAAAGAGGTTTTGGGAACAGCGGTGGGTGGAAGAGTCAGCTTGAGCAAAAGAATCTGAGGTGGACTTTTCAATTCCAAATTGGGCTCCTGAGACCTCCCAGCCAGTGTGGGATTTGAATATGCCTTCTCTTCTTACCAACACACATCACTGAAAGACAAACACTGGTTCAGAAATAACAAATTCTAGATTCATATACAGGAAGAGAACCATTTCTCTAAATGTAATGCAGACTGCATAACTCTCTGCCCACCAATGAGAATACTTTAAAATTTTCCCTCTACTTCCAAACAGTGGCCAAAGGCAAAACAAGAAAGGGGGTTCAGGAGGCCTTCATGTTTCTTCTCTGTCAGGCTACACAAAAAAACTTGCTGAAGTTCTGGAATGACCACTTCCTATACCTGGAGCCTAAATACATCCCTACATAGGATGCCTCACAGAACTCTGTGCAAAAGGAAAGGAGAGAGTGACTGATCATCTTCCTGTCTAAGCAACTGACTTTCAGTTGCATTAGGAACCAAGGTTCCAGTGACTTCTGTAGATGCACTTTCCAGAACTAATTTCCACTGCTTTGTGCACACACCCTTTCCATTAGTTAAAAAAAAAAAAAAATGACTTAAGCAGAACTGGTGCAAGACTTTGTTCTCTAAATCTGTGAATCCCCAATGGGGGCAATTTTCCCCTCCACGGAACATTTGGCAATGTCTAGAGACATTTTGGATTGTCACAATGGCAGGGGAGGCGGGTGGAAATGCTCCTGGCTACTAGTGGGTAGAGGCCAGGGATGCTGCTAAACATATACAGTGAACAAGACAACTCCCCACAAGAATTTTCCAGGTCCAAATATCAGCAGTGCTGCTACTGAGAAACCCTATTCTAAATGCTTGGGAAAATGACATTTTGCTTTTATTTGCAACCAGTACTCTCCATGCTATCACCCTATATCACTCCTGAATTTTATTTTTAACAGTTCATCAGCCAATTCTCCTACAGATAACCCCCCAGAGGCAGATTACAAATAATAATGGTATTTACTGAGTTCTATGTGCCAGGTTCTAGGAGGACTTCACATACTTTACCTTGCTTTTGTCCCCATTTTTAGAAGAGAAAACTGACAATTAATTGCAGATGTACATAAAACTTAAAATCACAGAAGTGCAAGTCAACTCAGCACTCCAAAGTTTCTGCTCTTTAATACAGTGCCTTTCTAAGGAAACAAACAGTATCAATTCAATTCACTAAGCAATTACTTTAGATCCAGAATTCTGCTTTCCATCAAGAGAACTTTTCATCTTTTAACAAAAAGTATTTGTTAAATATAACTTTGTAATTATGGTCATCTATCACTTGGAGCAATGTTGCTAGATTTAAAAATGTATTTTTAAAACTGTCCTTTCCAAAAAGAAGAAAAACTACGTATTTTATATATTTTAGTCTCCTATTTAAGGAATCTCTTCACTTTTGGAACTTTTAGGTTAATGTGCATACTGCTTTAGATGGCAGAACCAGGTAAAATTGCAAGAAAGCTTGCTCTATCTTGGGGTACCCATATTAAAGAAAGAAAGAAACATTCTGTAACATTTACAACAGCATATTGAATTTTTAATTCATGTGCCTGTCTCCTCCATTATCTTTTGTATTAAATTTCTACAGCTGCATAACAAATTAAGCCACATTTAGCAACTTAAGACAACACGCCTTTATTAGCTTGCAATTCCATAAATGAGAAGTTCCAGTATAGCCACTGTTCTCCCAAGGCTGAAATCATGGTATCAGTCAGGCTGAGCTCTCTGGAGGCTCTGCAAAAAATCCACTTTCAAGGTCATTCAGGGTCATGGACAGAATTCAGTTCCTTGCAACCATAAGATTAAAACCTCCTTTCCTTTCTGGCTGTTAGCCAGGGGTTGCTCTCAGCTCCTAGACTCTGCTTTCTGGTCCTTGCCCCTCCCATCTCAAAGCCATCAGTGGAGAATCTCCCCAATGATAGATCTACTTCAGGCTTTGATTGTCTTTCCTGAAGACCCCATTCTATTTTAAGGGCTCACCTGATTAGGTCAGACCCACTGAGGACAATCTCCCTATCTCAAAGTCAATTGATTTGAGACCTTAATTACATCTGCAAAATCCCTCACAGTAGTACCTAGTGTTTGACTGAATAGTTGGGAGAAGGTGCATGTGTATAACAGGTGGGCAGGGATCTTGGGGGTCATTTTAGAATCCTGAGTGGGTTAGTCCATACATTCCTAGATGGGACAAACTGGACCATATACATCTTTTGTACCAAAAGATACCCCATACGTGTTCACTGAACTGAATTGTTTTAAAGGAATTAGGATATTATAAAGTCAGGAAATTTACACAGGAGCATTAACTTCCTGGTATGGAGGACTCCAATCGAAATAGATCAGGTAAGATGCAAAGCTCTGGATGCCTTTGGGCTGATCACCATTCCCAGCTCTGCCTCTGCCAAAAAGTTAAGTGGAGTTTCTACTTTCACTTTGGGAATGCAGCTCTAATTAAGGGAAATCAAAGAAAAAGAATTCGTATCCCAGAAATGTGCAAGAGAACTTTCCAGAATCCTGTCTGTTCCACTGAGTACAGGGTGTGTTCCGTGGGTGCATGGTGTCATGGACTTCCCTTGGGTAGTTTGCCTGTTCTTTGAGGGTGGAACCACATACTATTCATATTTATCCCTAGGGCTAGCACGGTGTCGTTCGGAAGCAAAAGCTTACTGAGTAAAGATAAAAGATGACTGAATGTTTGTAGAATGAATGTTATTTAACGTGTCTCTGTTAGTAGTCATTCATTCCTGCGGGGGAGGGTCATTCAGTGCATTTTCTGCAATCCAGCAATGCCTGTCCTGTCCCCTGCAGCCAGTGATCACTAAACAGGTGCAACCATTGGGCCGTGTACTGTTGTTCTGAAAAGTATTTTTTCCTCTCCTAGAGGTTGATCACTTTAGTTTATGCAGTATGAATTGAAGCTGAATAAATACTCAAGCTAGTCTTATGAGGTTTATTTCTAAGAAACACTCAGCTATATGTTAAAGCAAAACAAAAACAAAACTTTCATCTTCTTTTTCATATCCTTTGAAATGGACATTCATTATCAGTGTTCAGCAAACGTATTTACGGAGAACATTTCTTTACATCAGTCGGAGGACAGAGCTTTGATTTCTGAAAAAGAAAAGCTCCGTTTCCCTTAGATTTTCTCAGCTCTTCCATTGCTAACCTCAAAATACAAGTTACCCGCAATTCTGTGGCGTCCCCTGCATTGAAATCACATTCGGAAAAACGCTTTCCCGGCCTCCTAACTCCAGATAAACGCCAGAAGCGACTTCGAGCTTCCTCCGCCTCGCGGTAGCCCGGGCAGCCGCGGGTTTCGGGCCCGCGCTGCGACGTCACCGGGCTCGCAGGCCGCGGCGCAGACCTCACGCTCGGGTGATTGGCTGGGGCTCCTGACGCCACCGGCCGGGACGGCCCCGGGCTCGGGAGGGCCGCGGGATGCTCGGGCTTCGGTAATAAAACAAGGCAGGCGGACAGAAGCGCGCGCGGAGCGTCCGGCCCCTCCCGCCACGCCGCGCCTGGTTCTACCCCGCCCGCCGCAGGCCGTGCCCCGCCCGGCCGCGCTAGCCTCCCGGGCGGCCCGAAAGGGGGCGGGCGGAGAGGCGGGGCGGGGAGGAGCCGGGCGCGGCGCCGCGCCGTCCCTGGCCACCGCCCACCCTTTACACACAGCATGTAAACAGTCCCCGCCGGGGAGGATCCCGGGACCGGAGGGAGTCCGCGCTGCCCGGCCCCGCCGCCAGCCCCCGAGCCCGCGGAGCCGCGCGCTGCCCGCCCGAGAGGGGGGCGCCCGAGGGGAGAGGAGGGCGGGCGGGCGGCGGAGGAGCGGGAGGCGGGCAGCGAGAGCGGAGGCTGAGGGAGCGGCGGGCGCGACGGGCCAGGATGGATTTCCAGCAGCTGGCTGACGTTGCGGAGAAATGGTGCTCCAACACGCCCTTCGAGCTCATCGCCACCGAGGAGACCGAGCGCAGGATGGATTTCTACGCCGACCCTGGCGTCTCCTTCTACGTGCTGTGTCCGGACAACGGCTGCGGGGACAATTTTGTGAGTGCCTGGGGGAGGGACCGCTGCAGCGCGCGGGTGTGGACGCGTGGCCGCGTCCCTACGCCCGAGCTCTGGCACGCTGGGGAGGCTGTGGGGCCCGAGGATTCCGGGGGGAGGCGTGACCGGCTGGCCGCCGCGCGCCCCGCTGCTCTGAGCTCGAGAGGGGAACCCCTGGGCCCCGCGCGGCGGCGGCGGCGGCGCTCCGGGTGGGGCCGGTGGGCGGCGGGCAGGGCGCTCTTAGGATTCGGGGAGCCGGGCTGGGGCGGGCTGTTTGGAGGACGTGACCCCACGGCCCTTGTGCGGTGCTCGCCCTGGAGTATCTCTGGGGTGTCGCCGCGTCGCACCAGCCCTGGCCGGGCGCACGGGCCCTCCCGTAGGATCCGGACTCCGGGTCTACCTACACTCAAGAGTCTCGTCCGAGTGAGGAATCCCGTTCCCCTCCCAGTGCGCGAACACAACTCCTTGAGTTGTCCTCGCCTGGGAGAACTCCCGGCCCCCGTGTTATTCCCTGCGCTGCCTGCTTGGACACAAAGCCTCTGTCCACACTAGCGATGTGTGGACATCTCCCAGACCTTTCGTGCGAAATTACACCCGGATCTTAAAAGCGCACGCGCGCGTGCGCATACCCACATAACACGCGCGCACACACCCACACGCGGGCACGCCTATCCCCCTTTCCTCCTGTGCTTCCATTGCTCCTCTGTGAGCTTCCAGCAAGTGTGTGGGGCTCGAGCGGGTTATGTCTGGCAGAGGCGGCAGCCGCGGCCCGACCACAGCCCCTCGGTGTGCGCAGATGAGGGGGAATCCGCGCTCCTCCACCCCACACTCCCGCCCGGGCGCGGAGGCACCGGGACCTGGAACTGCGGTGTCCAAATCCTCGACTTTGCATCCTGCGCCCACTTGGGATCTTGGCGCTGGCTAAACTGCCAGGGGATGCAGGGGCCAGGGGAGTTGGGGTGGAAGGTGCGGAGACTGGGCGAGGATGGCCCTCCGTGAAGTGTTTATAAGGACGGTAAAAATAATGGTCCCCAAATGTAAGATGGAGGCGGCCATGGGTCGGGTTGCCGTGCTTGAGCCTGGAGTCTGTTCTGCTGCCGCCCCTGTAAACGAAGGTGGGGCGGCGCCGATGCGCAGCCTGGCGCTGGCTCCTCAGGTGGGGTGACAAAGCTGGGCCCTGGTCCCAGACGCTGCTCGCCACTACCACCCACGGGGAGTTCTTGAAGGAACTGAACAGCAAGATCCCCGTTCTTGGCTCTGGAGAGAAGACGGCTTGTGTATACCTTGGCAATAAAGCATGCTTCTCCACCACCTCCACCCAACCTAGGAGGCAAGAAACCACCGGGGCCCCAACCCCCACTGGACCCACTCTGGAAGAGGAAGGGCCTTGGGTGACAGCCAGTTAGTTCTTTGAGTGAGTTCTGGCTGTATGACTCTCGTCAAACACCTTCCCCTGAGCTCAGTTCACTTCCAAAAAATGGGTATAGTACCAGTTCCCAGTTGACTGACTAGATAAAGCACCTAAACAGTCTCCACGCACAGCAAGAGCCCAACAAATTTGGGCCAGAGATCTGGGGTTCCCAAGTTTAGAACTTTTTTTTTTAAGAGTCTCAATTGTGTCACATGTTAAATAAGGTGAATCACAATGTCTCCATCATAGGTACTTGTGAAGAGCAAGTAAGTTATAAATACATGTGAGAACACTGTTAACTGCAGTTAAAATCAGTAAGTGTTGTTATTCGGAGGAATGGGAGATGTTTAAAAAGGGATTTACTCCATTGTGAAAGTACTAGAAAGCCCCATGGATAACTTGGAAAGGGCACCAGGGTCCAACTAATTTCACTATTTGTGTTTGATTAGGAGTCTCCTCTAGATGTGGGCTTCCTTAGTCTGCCAGTAGCCTTTCCCCCTCCTTACTGTGTGAGACAGGGTGAGAATCACTCATGGTTCTGGGTTTTATGGGGGAGAGGTGAACACATCCTTCCTACTGGCACTGCAGTTGTCAGACCTAAAGAAATTGTTCCACGGAGAAGTGGGTGAAGAAAATGCAAGACTATTCTCCTTCCTTGAGTATGTATATCAAACCATCATTCAGAAACATATGTATATCAGGCCACCCTTAATTGTAAATGTTTTCCCACTTGTATGAGTAAAAAGCTTGAACATAAAATTGATTTGCTGACAATTAAATAAAGTAGATAAAAAAGAAGATGGGGCAAAGTAATTCCTTAAGAAGGCTGGAACTTTCTCAAAGTTTCTGGAAACCATAATAAACCAGATGTCACCCACCAGAGTTTTCTTCGCCCATACTTCTCCTTGAATCTGTCCCATGCCAGATTTGTCAAGGTGCTGTTTTCCTTGAGTTAAAGGAACTCAGGCATGAAGTAAATGTCCTGCCTCCGTTCCTTTCCCCAGAAAAATCTATTAAGCATTAGAAGAAACTTGAGATGAGTGGAAGACCTGTAATCTCATGGATTAGTTAACAGTATTTACATAGCATTTTTCAGTTTTCACAGCATTTCACAAGGTGTTCTCACACCATTCATTCATTCAACAAACATTCACTGAGGGCTTACTTTGTACCAGACCAGGGTTCCCTAGACTACAAATAGAGTCTCTGCCCACCTGCTCCTGAGGCCGTTCTACCCAATGAAGAGGCAGTGTGTATAGTGGTTAGGAGAACTTAACAGTCAGGCTACTTGGATTTGCACCCCAGTCCCCCACATCTGACTGTGCCTTGGGGGAAGTTACTCAATCCCTCTATGCCATGATTTCCATATCGGTAAATCGGGGATGATAATATTAGTGCCTTCCCAGCAGGCTTGTTTGAAACAGTGCCTGAAATGGGAGTGATGATATCAGTGACTCTGGCAGTGCCCACCCAGCAGTCTCTCTGGAGCTATTTAAACTATAATCCAGGTCATGTCCCCACCACTCCCCACCTTGCCTAAACTGACTTTGCATCATAATTTACGATAAATCCTAAACTCTTACTCTGGCTTAAAGTCTCCTCATGATTTGTCTCCTGCCACCCCACTGACTTCATCTTTGACCATTATTCCCCCTTGGTTACTGTGTTCCTGCTACATTGGCTTTTCTGGTCTTTGGACATGCTAAGCTCATTTCTACTTCGGGGCCTTTGCACTTTCTCCCTGCCTGGAACACTCCTCTCACATCTTTACATGAATAGCTCCTTTATACCATTCAGGCCTAGGAGAAACCTTCAAGCCACACACTCCCTCACCTCATCCTCTTTTATTCTCATCACAGCTCTCGTTAGTACTTTATAGTCTTGTTTATTTACTGCCTCCCCACTAAACCATAAGCTTCTTGACAGCAGTGATCTCTTATTCATCACTGTATCCCAGCCCTTGAAACAGCGTCAGACAGATGATAGTGCTCAATCCATGTTTGTAAGAATGAATGAAAGTGGAGACCCAGGACCCAAACCTGCCTGCTGACCCTGCACACCTGTGCCCACCAAAGGTTTTTAAATACGCATCCTTCACTCCTCCTGACCATCCTCAGCTTGGGCATAGCCTCAGCTGCTCCATCAGTTGATGTTGGCTTAAATGCATTCTGGTCCCAGTGGACGGCAACACACAGGAAGCTATATGGCAAAAATGAAGAAGGATGGAGAAGAGCAGTGTGGAAAAAGAATCTAGAAATGATTGATAAGCACAATGAGGAATATGCCTTAGGGAAACACAGCTTCACAATGGCAATGAATGCTTTTGGTGACATGACCAATGGAGAATTCAGGCAGGTGATGAACACCCTTCAAAAGCAGAAGTACGAGACTAGGGAAGTGTTTCCAGTACCTTCCCTTGCTCAGGAAGTTACTCAGCAAGTCTGTGGAATGGAGAGAGAAGGGCTATGTAACTCTTGTGAAGAACCAGAGTTGGTGTGGTTCTTGTTGGGCTTTTAGTGCAACTGGTGCCCTTGAAGGACAGATGTTCCAGAAAACTGGCAAACTTTTTCCACTGAATGAGCAGAACCTGGTGGACTGCTCTGGACATCAAGGCAACGGTGGCTGCAGTGGGGACTAGTGAATTTTGCCTTCCAGTATGTTATTGACAATGGAGGCCTGGACTCGGAGCAATCCCATCTGTACCATGGAAAGGATGAACCCTGCAAATACAAACCTGAGTATTCTGCTGCCAGTGTGACTGGATTCCATGGAATCCCTGTCCAGGAGAAGAACCTAGAGGTCACAGTGGCAAATGTGGGGCTCGTTTCTGTTAATATAGATGCAAGCAAGCAAACATTCCAGTTCTATAAAGAAGCTGGGGTACAGACTAGGGCATGAATGGCTACATAAAGATGGCCAAGGACCGGAACAACCACGGTGGAATTGCCTCCACGGCCAGCTATCCTACTGTGTGAGATGATGGTGATAATGAAGAATTTGATTGAGAATGGAATATCCCTGGGAAGAATTTTGTTTTACATGGACCAGACCTTTTTGGGTAGATTAAAAACATTTGAATCATTGAAAATCCAAGTTGTGATTTGAATTCTGTGACATTTTGCCTTGGAAAACCTGACGACTTCTCCTATTACTGTTATAAACAGCTTTGTATGATTAGCTTACCTAACAGCTCTTGAAAGTTCATGTTTGAAAGGATGCATAAGTTTTTTAATTTGATTAAGTTTGAAAATAAAACTTAATTTCAAAGTAAAAAATAAAGAATGAATGAAAGAAAGAATGAATGCAGAGAGTCTAGTGTAGAAGACAGGTGTTTAATTTCTAGAACAACAGCTTCAAAGAACATAACTACAACTTACATGTACTTTACTGTGTATCAGACACTGCTCTTAGCACTTTGCATGTAGAACTCAATAATCTCACAAGGTATCCTCACTCTATTTTAAAGATAAGGAAACTGAACCTCAGTGATGTTTACTAACTTTCCCACTTCTAATAAGTGGAAGAGCAACTCTCTTCATAGTCCTGTACTGAAAACAGTATCACAGGAGTGACAAGTGGGGACCCAATTCAG